CTGAAAATACTTGAAAATTCACATGGTGGCTGATGTTGGAAGGTACCTCTGGAGGCCTGTTTGTCCAGCCCCCTTGCACGGGCAGGGCTGACTAGAGACAGCTCCTGAGGGCTGTGTCCAGATGCCTTTTGAGAGTGTCCAATGACAGAGACTCCAGGCAGACTTTGCCAGTGCTCAGTTACCCTCAGAGCAAGAAGGTATCTCCTGATGTTCAGAGGAATTTCTTGTGTTACTGTTAGTGCCTCATACCCTGTCTTTCTTGTACTGGGAAGCCCAGAACTGGACACAGTGCTCACGTGTAATCTCACCTGAGCAGAGGGGAAGGACACTGGCAACACTGCCCCTAATGCAGCCCAGGATGCCATTAGCCCTCTTCGCTGCAAAGGCACATCGGTGACTCGCCGTTAACCAGGAGCCTCAAGGCCTTTTCCGCAAAGCTACTTTCCAGATAGGTGGCCCCAAACATGTACTGGTGCGTGGGATGTTTCTTCCTCAAACGCAGGACTTTGCCCTTCCCTTTGATGAACATCAAAAGATTTCCACGAACACATTTCTCCAGCCTATCAAGGTCCCTCTGGATGGCAGCACGATCCTCTGGTGTACCTGCTACTCCTCCCACTCTTGCGTCATCAGCAGACTTGCTGAGAGTACATTCTGCCCCAGCAGATCTTTAATTAAGATGTTAAACAGGACTGGACCTAGTATTGATCCTTGGGGCTACACCACTAACTACTGGTCTTCAGATTTCATACCACTGATCACCACACGCTTGGGCCCAGCCAGTCAGCCAGTTTTCAATCTTATCTCACTGCCTGCTCATCCAACCCATACATCAATGGCTTTGCTAGGAAGATCTTACGAGAGAACGTATCAAAAGCCTCACAGTCAAGGTAGACAATATGCACTGCTCTCCCCTCATCTACTAAGCCAGTTGTTTCATCATAGATTGTTTAAGCATGACTTCCCCCTTGTAAATCCACGCTGACATAAAGTGATTTGCCACAAAGTGATTTACCCCTTTGCCAAAAGCAGTCTCACTCTTGCCTGATACTCCACCAGTATTGTTGACACCCTGTCTGTAAGGTGCTCTGATGAAATTCACTTGCCTGTCATCTGTTCAAGAGACTTCCTGGGAAGGGCTGAACTTGTCCAGCTCAACGCTGTCTTTAGAGCACAGAGAGGGTTCACAAAAGCACCCTGAGCCATGTGTGCACCAGGACTTTCTGAGAGCTGGCTAGTCAGCCAAAAGCCAGAATCACTGCCATAAGCACCTCCTTCTTCACCAAAGAAGTCTGTGCGAGGAGCTTTGCTCCAGGCCTGACTTTGACTTGCAGAACTAAGACAACATTGGCCAAGTCTGCTTCGACACTGGGACTGCAGCCAGCAATATGCAGCACTGAACAGGAGACAAGAAACACCAGCATCCATTTGTTCTGTCTTTATTTACAGGGCAGAGGAGGCCAGTATTTCATCTCGAGAGCTGTCTTAGCTGCTCAAGCCCTGAGAAGCCTCATCAGTTCTGCAGGGCTTCAGTCCCTCTTCTCTATGGCTGAACCTAGAATTAGCCAGTGCCAGCCCTTGATTATGGCACAGCTGACATGCTCGGGGGGCATCTGCAGACAGGGAGCGTGATAAAGGGCTGTCATGTGCACCCATTACAGATTAAGAGGGAATGAGTTTGCCTCAGCATCTGTCACTGGGGGAGATGCTTCCTTCCTTGTCCTCTTTGTTAAAAATCAAAATTTGTCTCAGCTCACATGGGGCTGGAAAGCGATGGAGCATTGAATGTCCGAAGTTATTTACCATGCTGAGCAAAACCAATGCTCTGGAAAGACTGCAAATCACCAGAGCTCCAGGCTTCGTGGGATGCCTATGAAACTTCAGTTTTGGTGGGGAAAGTCAGTCCCAATAGCATGGGCTGAAGGATCTTCCCTGTCATCCCACCACATCCCTTTCCCTGGCTCCCACCAAGCACCTGGCCCAGCCCAGCAGACCCACCTTGTTCTCCAGACATCCCCAGACCTGCAGTACATCCCCTCCAAGCTCTCCTGAGACACAGCTGTTGCAATACTGCCAGGTTAGGAGAGAGTAATTCTCACCCAAGGCAAGGGAGGGCACCCAGGGGGCAGCCCTGAGATCAACATACTGCCGGGACAGTGTCCTCCACCAGGACACAATGAAAGGGACACAGACCAGGCAAGAGCATGCTCTGAAAAAGGGAAGCAGAGAACTCCTGGGCATCCAGTTTTATTCTACTCATCAATGTCCCATGTGGGGATTCTAGGCGGCCCAGGGGACCACTACACCCTGCTGCCCACCCCTCAGACAGGCTGTTCAGCAGCTGCCTTTCATCATTCATTGTCCCCTTCTTTCAGAAGAGGCTGGTTCTCCCTTAATCATATCTTAGAGACCCTAAATCCTCCATCCAAGAGCAAAACCATTCCAAGGGAGGCATGACCTTTTGCAAGCTAACCTCCAGGCTTAGGGATGCTAGGAGTCTGACTACATACATGGCCACCAAGTTCCAGAAGGGTTTAAGGTATCTACGTGCCATCCCCGCCCAAGCCAGGCAGTGAGACTGCTAAAGACACAAACTACCATGCTGATATGATCACCTGCCCAGCATCACCTGCTATTTCCTTGCTGGAGGGTGTGACAGCAGACCCACACTTGTGGTGGGAAGGGGTGTCAGACACAGAAAAGGATGCTGTTGAGGGACTGAGACCTGGAGGTGCAGAGACAGTCGGGGAGGTATTACACATCATTCTCCCAACTCCCGCTGTCATTGTGCAGTGCCTGCCTGTCAAAACCAGGCTGCTCGGACCTGAACAGCAACGGCAGGAGGATGCAAACCCAGCCCAGTTGAAAAATCCATGCCAGACTGAAGCTGGCACCTTCACTGCTGCGATCCTAAAGCAGTTGTTAAATGCTCTTCCTTCCTTACCACCTCTGAGGTGAAGATCCTGACACCAGCATCTCCCAGCACACTCTTCCCAGCCCCCTCCCAGCAACACTCAGCCTGGCAAATACCTTATGGCAAGTAATTTTACATTATTCTGCATTTACACAAAAATAGAGCAATTCTATATTTATAGAGATTTATAGCCAGTTCCGTACTGGAGGAGTTACTGAGAGCAGGGCCGGGAGCCACTGGCGGTCCAGGCTCCCGAGCAGCCGGCTGCTTCTCATTCGGCATTTCCGACATACAAAATTAAAGGCATTCGTCTCCGTCTGGTTTCTTAAATAGATAAGGGGGGAATGAACGGACAGTATGTACAGAGGGGCAGTGGCAGGGCCCGAGCGCCCTCCGCCTCACGCCTGCCGCCTTGGGTCAGTGAGGCCGGCTGCTGGACTCTGAGGGCTGGCGCTGGAGTGTAGCCATTCAGGTAGCCGTTGCTCTGGCGTTTGCTGAGTCCTCCGTTAAGAATGTCCTGGATGTGCTGCACTATCAGGTTTATGGCCACTGCAAGCAAAAAGGGAGGGAAAGACACGGTGGAGAGATTGCATTAGGATCACTGCAAATAAACCAGAGCCAAGGCTGAGATGACAACCCTGCTTGTCTCTCCTGCCCCCAACCCCTCTTATCACCTGGCGGGGAACTGCAGCCCTCCTGGGAAAAGATGCACCACTGGGACATCATCCCTGTGCCCCAGCTGATCCTAGCGCTCCGGCCAGGATAGTCAGGCTGATTCCAGCCAGGTGGAGACCTGGCTAACCCAGCTGCATGTCTGGCCTTGGAGAAGCACAGATGGACCAGGAGTTTGCACTGCATATAGATGGGCTCCCAGGCTTGACCAGAGGAACACAAACTCCCAGTCACTCCAGGCAGGAGCAAAAGGGAGAGTGTGTACGTGGCAACAGCACTCTCTCAGGTGGCAGTGGCCCAAGTCACCTCTGTGGCAGGTCCTGCTACCTCCTATCTGACTCTGCTGCAACAGCAACAGCCCAAAGCCGACTTCCAGGATGTAACAGCAGGGTCCAGGTCCACTCACCTTCATTATCTGCTCCTCTAGGAATGATCACGTCAGCATACTTCTTGGTCTGGGAAGAGAGAGAGAACACTTTGTTACAGGGAAAGCCACCAGCCTGTGGCATTGTCAATACTTCCTGGGGCAGGTCCTTCCCCTCCCCTTGCCAAACCCAACCCCGCTGGGAGGTACGTCATTGCTGATAATACGTTTTGGACGCTCCTATTTGTCTTCTGCTCTGTGTTTTGAGGGCTATGCCTTGCACCCTGACTCCATTTTCATGAGCTCCTACAGATTCCAGCAAGAGGCACCCTAACAAAAACTGAGATTAAAACGCCTCACAATCACAAGACTTCAGCAGCTGATGCTTTTGAGAACAACCTCCCCCCCTGAATCCAGCCAGACTTGGTACAAGAGCAACAGCTGGCATGCCAAGGCTGCGTGGGCACAGGGCACAGCCATATGATCTGGCTGGGATGCAGAGAGCATTTCATACCAGCATTGCTTGCAAAAGAAGGGCTGATGTAGGGCACCAGTCCTGACCTATTTTCACTTGCAGGTGCCAGTCTGTTTCCTCCCCTGTTTGTGTCAGATCTTACAGCTGATCTTACAGCTGATCAGCTTCCTGATAGCCAAGGCCTACCATCAATAAACAAGCCAGGCCACTGGACTAAGGCTGTCATCTGACACCTCCAGGTGCTTCCAGCCACACCAAATCATCACCGAGACATGCTGGAACATTTCTGTGCTCGACCACTTGGCCCAGAGCTAGTTTAAGAGTCAAACAATAGCAACAGTGGGTGCTGAGCCTGCTCAACATCCACGTGCACTTGCTCTGCAGCTGAGTGCACCACCAGGTTGGAAGTGGGAGCAGGCCGCTGCAAAGCTGGTGGGTAGGGACAAGGCAGTTGTTTTCTACCCTCTCTGTTTCATATTTCATCCTCCTACAGAGTCTTCAAGAGAAGAGACTGATGCAGCATCTGCTACTTTGCAAAGCTGCAGATTTACTTCGCTAGGGACTTGCAATAAGGGTAGTCACCAAGCTGGACCTGCGTCTCGCGGAAACCCTTTGTGGGATTACACTGGAATTGGACCTTAGTCTCCAGCGACACAGCTGAGTGAGAGAGAAAAAGTGCTGCCCAGGAACCAGGAAGAGATCTTGCAGCACAGAAAAAATCAGCTCCTCTTACAGGAAAGAGCAGAGCTGGCCACAGAGTCAGGTACAGAGATGTTCCTGAGGCTGGAGGCACAGATTTCAATTCCTGCCTGTGGTGCTGGTGAGCAGTTCCCAGGTTGCAGGACTCCATTCCTCCAGAGTAAGAAGAAATTCCTAACTACTGTATGTGCTTGAAAAGCCTTGAGAACCAAGGCACAGGCTCCTCTCCACGAGACCCAGGAGAGGTAAGCAATAGCTAGTCCTGCAAACATGCTATTTCACCTGCAAGCTCTCCAGGACTGCAGTGGTCTCCCACATGCAAACTTCCTGCCTGCCAGGGAGCCTTGCCTCAGTTATCAGCTCCCAAAACAGCTCCCTTTCTCCAGGCAGACCTTACAAACTCAGCCCCGAGCAAGGTCGGTCCGCTCTACGCCTTGGCCTCTCACCAGCCAGGAAATGCAACCCACAAAGCCATGTGCTGCAGCACAGAACAGAAGCTCCCCGGCTCTTCCAAGCATCCAGCAGCACTGGAAGGTGAAAAAGAGTCCCCAACCAGGAGGCAGACACAGCAGACACTGCCTGGAGGCAGGGATCTCCCCTTCCCTGGCTAGATGGAGCCAAGGACCTTCCCTCCTGGGCTGGCATCTGCCAAGCTGGTGTTGGTTTGTTAGACCTGTGCAGGAAGAGTTACTCTTGCCATGTCAGCTTTCCCACAGAGGAGGGTGATCTCACGAGGAAAGCAGTGGCTGTATAAATAGTCCCCATCTCACCCTGCCCCAGCCAGCATTGGAACCCCCATTTTTGTCAGTGCTTGCAGGCAGGGAGCAAGGTGAGGCAGGCTGACCTGAGCTCTGGGGCACAAAATACTCCTGTCTGAGGAGCTGGGCAAGGTAGGAGGCATTTTTGGCAGACTCCCCTTACTTACTGGCAAACAGAACTCCTCGAAGGCAGGCTTGACGAAGGTGATGTACTGAGATAAGATCTGCTCGAGGTCTCTGCCTCGCTCGCTGATGTCTCGTAGCACTGCAGGGAACATGTAAGGCATAGTCAAGGTGTGACATGAATGGCTCCACCACCCTTCCCTTCAGTACAGCCTCTGGCCAGCCTCCTGGGTGTTTTGCCTGAGGTCTCTGTTCCTGGAAGCTGCTGCCCACATGTCTGAGCACACTCCAGCCCAGCTACATGCTTTTAACCCATTTCCAAGCTTTCCCAGGAGTCAAGGGCTGGCTGACCTGACCAAAGGCTTTTCTTGGCCAGCCTCCCTGTCTTCTCAGCTCTGCAAGAACATTCCAGCTGTGGGACCAGTGCCCCACTAGTCCTGACTGTTCCCAGCCTCAGCCCTTGCATCCCTCCCACCACTTTGCCATGTCCTTGCCTGAGGATGGAGCATTCTCCCAGGCAGCCCTGTGCACAGGTGCCCAAAGGATGGAAAAGCAGGGATGTTCATCCATACGCACATTAAGGCACAGTTTAACTCAGGTCTGCAGAGGTGAGGAGAGTAAAACTCACCCACCTACCCAGCTCTGACAGGCTCCTTGTGCTGTGCCCAGCCGAGTGGGATGGGAAGGGGAAGCAGGCTCTCACAACTAGAGGCTGAAGGAGTACTTGGACAAAATCAGCTCAGGAGGAAGCCAAAAGGCAGGAAAGCAAGTTGGCCTCTTGCTTGTTCCGCCACTCAGGCCTTACACTATGTTTGCACAAGGTATTTGGGCCCTTGCCATCTCCAGTGTGAAGCCACTTCAGCACAGACAAGTGCCCCAGTTCAGTAGGAATTCAGTCCACAGGTAAGAGCCAAAACAGCCCTGTGGCCGAGCAGATGGCTCTTGGCTCTCCCCAAGGGGCTGGCTGGCCTCTCCCCAGCATGCTAGCGCCTGGCACTGGCTTCAGAGCGAGTCTTCTCTGTGTGCCAAGCAGGGCCAAGGCACCCCAGTGCCAGCCTGCACGACCTGCTCGGCAGCCGTTGCCTGCGTGCTCACAGGGTCAGGACAGGGCTGCTCTCCCAGGGCTGGTTTGGCACCGTCCCCGCAGCATTGTTTGCCCTCGGCCAGCAGCTTCGCAGCGTGCCCTTTCGCAGCACCATGCAGGAGAGATGATGAGGGGAAGAAAAGGCTGGCAGCAGGATGTGTGTCAGCTCCTTGCCTGCTCCAGGAACGGCTTAGCCCAGCCCAGGCTGCTCTAGCCAGCTCCTTGCCTTCTCCAGAGAGCGGGAGCAAGCCCCAGCTCAAACAATACAGAAAAAGAAGCAAGGGATATAAAACAGAGAGGCTTTTGTTTCCCAGGCCCCACACCCTGTTTGTTGGCTGCTCTGGGGCTGGGACGGGGCACAGCAAGGGTGTATTTACAGCACACCCGGCCTGGGACAACGTGCGGGAGGCTTGTGAGCTGCACAGCGTGAGTGCACAGACTGCAGGGGCTGGACCTGACAGGGCAAAGCTCTCCTGCCTGCTCCCTGAGCAGACCACAGCAGGGCAATCACCCCCCGAACAAACATGAGTCAAGCACCAACTGCCTCGTACCTGGTCCCCAAGCAACAGGTCTCAGCAACCCAGGATAAAACCACACTCCCTATCTAGAGGTATCACCCTCTTCTTGCAGGGCAGGCAAATGTACCAAGGATGGATCAGCACGTGGCCCAAGCCAGCAGGCAGACATCACTCAAATGATGCCCAAAACACAACACGACACCTGACTTGGTCTTCATTTTATGGAAGCCAGTTGAAGACAGGGCAGCGAAGGACCTCTGCCAGAATCAGCTTTGCATGGATCAGGCTGTTTGAGGCAGCTGACAGACCTTGCCTCTTGCGCTCTGGTAGCAGCATTTTTCTTGGGAGAGGTGCTGAGACAGGGACAGCACGAGTTGCACGTACTGAACCCCAGCACTACTGATTAACTGAGCTGTCAGCTACGCTTCCAGGAACCTCATCTCCTGCTGTTGCTCAGCTGAAAAACCTATTGCTGCAACTCTTCAGGATATCTGGGCAAGCAAGATGACTCAGGGCTGCACCGCAATGCAAGATCCCTTACTTTTGTTACAAGCTGCCTTCAGCTATGTTCCAGGGACGTGACTATACCTTCGGCACCTCACACACAGGCTCTCCTTTCCCAGAAATGGAAGGGAGACATAAACAGATTGGCTGCTACGGTAATCCTACCAATTGCTGGTGGGAAGACAAAGGCTGCCAAATGGCCAGATCCCTATCAGGAGGATGATGAGCTGCCCTAAGAGACACCAGCACCTCAGCCAGCCTTGCTGCCCCTTTGCAAAGCTTTAGCAATTGATGGTGGGTGGGAGGAATATCCCAAGAGTGACCTAGGCCCACGTGGCTCAGGGCCCCATCCAACAGCTGCAGTACAACGTGGTTTAGCTCTGTGTTGTGATCAGCAGCTGGATAGTCTCGGTTCTTAGACAGATCTCAAGATCTGAACTCACAGTTCTACCAAGTCCAAAGTGATGCTTCAGAGTATAATTAGGATGTGCACAGGGTCATGTCGGCCTGCGAATACACAAGGCAGCGCCTTCCCTTCAAACAGCTGATATGGGGCACTGCCAGAAACGTGGCAGGGTGTGAACCAAAGCCTGCATAGCACAGTCTGCTTGAGGGACCACATTGCGTGATCTTGCGTATCTGTGACCTGTTAATAGGTCTCACTGCAACGACTCTGCTGTCACCTCCCTGGATGAGTCATGCAAGAACAGTGGGCAGGGTCAAGAAGGATGCTTAAAAAGGAGCTTTTAATCAGCACTGATGACATCCCAACAGCTGAGGAGGCTGTGTAGCTATCTGACAGCAGGAGGGCAGGCAAGACCAGTTCCTGCAGAGCAGTCCCATGCACACAAGCACTCCCAGGCTGACGCACTGAGACACGCCCCTTTCGTCACAGCACAGAGGTCTGGACGGGACCTCTCCTAAGTCATCTTCTGCATCCCCAGACACCCTGTGGAGGCTGCTGGAGCCTGTTGGAGCCAGGCAGGCATAGGTACAATTCAGACAGAACTGAATTCTGCCCCAAGAGTCTCCAAATGCTTTCTTAGTCATCCAGGAGACTCAGGTGCTACATCAGTAATCCTACTCCTAAAAGTTGCTTTGAAATAAACAGCATTGAGCCAGCCATGCAGACCCTGCAGAGCTGTAGTCCCTCCTATGTCAGCTGGCAACCCACAACCAAGCCAGCTGGACACAGGGAGTCCTAGAGAGAGAGATTTTGGTTTCTAAGGCTCTTTGCCCCTAAGGCTATTACACCAGTGCCAGGTACCACAGAGAGGCTCCACGCTGCACTGGCTGTGCTTGCAACAAGACCAAGATGTACAACCAGACTTCCTATCTGCATCACTCACAATGGACGCCCTCACACACAAATGCTATCCTGGGAGCACACCCATACCCCAGGTCCTGAACAGATCCATCAGGCGCTGCCTCCCGACTGGACTGTTGAGATGCTTTGCCTTGCCCACTGCACCCTTCCCTGCTGACTGGCAGGAGCTGCCATTCAGCTGATGGCACAGGGCTGGTGCCACGGGGCCACGTGAGGACACAGCATGCTCGGCAGTCACGCTGCTGCAAGCAGCAAAGGAGGAATCTCAGACAAGGCAGCAAAAACCCCACTGAGCCCTAAGACACATGGAGCAAGGTGTTCTCCAGAAGCTGCCCTACGTGACATTCTGCACTGAGGGGAAAAAGCTCTCTGACTTTTTTGCTAGCAGCAGCACAACTCTGTGCTGGCTCCAGTTCTGCTCTGGTCACTGTCACCTGCCTGTTAGACCAGCTGCCCAGATCAATTAAGTGATGATTTCTGTCCCTGCTGCACCAGGCGTGTTTGGGACTCACCTCTGCGGGACAGACGGGTGTCTGCGTCTGTGTCCACAAAGAGCTTCATACGGAAGAGATCTCGCACCTCCTGGCTGTAGAAGGCCAGAATGCCTTCAAAGAGCACCACGTCAGCAGGGTAGACTGTCACCGTCTCCTCTTTCCTGGCAGAGGAAAGGAGAGTCAAAATATGCTGGGAGGAGGAAACAAGCCAGGAGAGGTGGGGGGAAACAGCGCTCCTAGGCACTGCTCCAACCTTGGGACAGCACTGCTGCACCAGGGAGGCAACCAAGGAGAGGGCAAACCTACCCCACCGTGGTGAAGGTAATCCAAGTCATACGTACGCTTCCTAGAAGGACAAACGGCAGAGCAGGAAGCAGACCAGCCCTTCTCCCCCCCACCTCGGCCAGCTGCTGCTTCCAAGTGTTACGTGCCAAGCCGTAAAGCCCAGAAAGCCTATGCATGGGGCTGGATCAACGGGAACCTGCAAGGGGCAGTTCTGCTCTCCTGGGAACCAGGCAGCGCTCCCCTGACACCACAGTGGTTTTTGTTGGGAAATGGAGCAGGGTCACACCATCCACAGTCAACAGAGACATGCAAAAACAAACTGAACATATGCAAGGGACGAGTTACAGAAGCAAGAACTGTCAACCTCCTCCTTTCCTGGCAGCGCCAGGCTGTTTGACCCTGGAATACTTGTTAAAGCTGCAAACACAGATTTTATGGGGAGAGGAAGTGTGGATGAGGGGGGAAGAGGCGGGCCACAGCCCTCCTCCACTGATGCCTGTACGTTACTGGAAACCACTGCACTGCTGCACAGCTTTCCAGACCCTCAGACTGTGCTTGTACCTGCCCCAGGATCCCCTAACCACGGGGTATGGAGAAATTGGGATTGAAACTTTTGGTTGGCACGTCAGGTGCCTAAGAGTGGGCGCAAGCGGTTGGGGCTGGCAAGGCTGCGTGCTGCACCGCAGGACGTTAGCAGAGGCACAGCGGGGCAGGAGTGGCTGTTAGACCTGGAGTGGGAGACAAAGTCATAGACAGGAATCTGGACCGTCTTCCCTTCCGTGATCTCTTTGAGCGTTTTCACGATCAGCTCGTTGTCAAAGGCATCTGAGGAGAGAGGAAATGTTACCCGAGGCAGTGCTGCAATCTCTCCCACCCCCAGATGCTGAGCTTAGCCTAGCCAGAGCCACTGGCACCCCGCACTGGGGACAGACACAAGCCAACTCTGGAGGAAACCCCTGCATATCCCCAGGGGTATAGCAAGGCCCAGCTCTTTGGGAGTCCTCAGGGATTCGCTGCTTTGCACCAGCCTGGGATCTGGCCCGCAGAGATCAATACAGCCCTTGTATGGTGACACTGACAGCTCAGGGAGGCATCTCCTCCAGAGCTCCAGCCCTCAGAGAGACTGGAGCAGTGTTTCAGCCTTGCGTCACCAGACAGACCGGGCTCTGTTTGCTCAGTACTTGCTGCCTCTGGCCATTGTCCTCATGGGGATGAAGGGACAGCAGCTCTGGAATCTCCCCAGCAAGCCCAGAGATGGTTCAAAGAGGCCCTGTTGCAGCAACAGCTCGGTGGAAGGGTTCGCAGAGCAGCTGCACAAGAGGGTTCCCTCTTTGAAGGAGGGACAGTCCAGGGGGCTGTGCCAGGCCACATCTCCCTGGACTTGACCCAGCTGCACCAGAAAGGCTTTTAGACTGGGGAAGAGTGTCTTACGGAGCTCGAGGGTTCACAACCTGTCCTTTCTCATCCTGAACACTCCACTCCAGAGGCAGTTTCTTTCCCAAAAGAGACAGAGCTTGTACTGCAGGGGACACAGGTGGCCCCAGCCACCCTGTCATGGGTGCACTCAGCTCTGCAAGAGCTTAACTAAGCCACCCACTCCTGCCTCACACAGAGACAGAGTCCCAGTGTCCATGCAAGGCTCTCTGCTAGTGGAGCAGGGGGTCCTGCTTCAGCCCTCGCCCCCCACTGCCTGGCAGAGCCCCAGTGCTGTTCTCCATTCACCTGGGTGGTCAAAATTGAACTGGCCTTTGAGTGCTTTGGATTTCTGCTCTGAGGTGAGGACCCGGTAGAAGCTGTCTTGGCTCACGATCACCACCTGCTTCTGGCGGTAGTCCACCTCGTTCTGGCCCAGCAGCTGGACGATCTTGGAGCATACTGAGGACTGAGAAAAGAACAGCAAAGGAGGCAAGTCAGCAGCAAGTAGTGTCTGAGCAGCACAGGAAGGATGTCCCAGGTAACAGCCATTCCTTGGTGCATGAGGCACCGCTTGCTGGACCTCCAGCCAGCACTTTGTGGTCCCCTCAAAGCCACTGAGGGAAAAGTGCTCTGGAAGCACCACTGCAGGGCCTCCAAACGTCAAAGCAGCACCAAGCTTTCTCCCTTGCCTCCCCCTACTCTGTCCTTATGGCCTGC